CTAGGGGTCACCAAAGCTCCACGTGGGGTCGTAACAGGTCTGTATGTCAACATTTAATTCGTTTTTCTGAGCAAAACTAAATGGAACATTCATTTATTTATTTATTTATTTTAATTATTATTTAAGATATAAACTTAAAGGAAAAGGAACCTGAGAATCAGTTCCCAAACACGTAATACATTTTTTGTTTTTAAATAACGAGAATAAAGTCGTAATATTACGAGAAAATATACTTGTTCTCGTAATATTATGACTTTATTCTCGTAATTTCCAAAATTTTATATATTAATTTATTTATTTTTCCTCTTAATATGGCCCTAATACTCTAAAACTTTTAAAATTCAGATTAAAATAAGACAAATCGAATAATAATAACAGCACTCTTCTGTCAATGTAAGACTGATTATTTGTATCATAGCAGAGTTCACCTGTTTTTATAGCTCATTTTTATTGGTTTTAAAGTGTAAATATTAAATATTCATTATTTTATTGTTTTCTTTTACAGCGAGGGGTTTATCCTACTTTATATATTAGTTTAATGTGTTTTAATCACCACAACTTAACACTAAAAGGAGTCTTTAAATGTCTCTCACACCGGCCTCTGTCCCGTTCCACTGACATTAGACGAGGTGGTAAATTTATCCTCTCAGGTTTTATTTGATGTCACATTAAACCTTCAGCAGGATTTAAAAGCAGCTCTGACGGTCGCCTGCAGCACAAAGCATGTGTTTCTGTGTCTGAGTCATGTAGCAGTCGGGTAAAATATTCAAATTATTTGGTAAAATTCACAAACATGTTGACACCCCTCAGGCTGTCTCTCCCCGTGTCTCCGGCTCCTCTTCGTCACCAATCTTCGGTCCCATTATAGCTTCAGCAGATCCCTTTATTCTCCTGCTGGTGACATTTTATAATCTGCCATTAAATACGATTACTAATCAACAACAGTTCTTTCATTTCTCTCTTCTCTGATCTCCGTTTGCTGCCGGCGACGTGCTCGGCCACGTGTTTTATAACTGAAGACGATATAAACTAAATGATTTAATGTGTGTTTAAGGTTTATATGACGGTTGAGATCAGATGTTTGTACAGTTCAGGTGCAATAATTTCATATTTCAATCTCACATCAGGACTTTTTCTTTTAAAACGACAATTTAACTTGTGATTTTATGAATTTTCTTGTAAAATTACGACTTTGTTCTTTAATATTACGACTTTTTCTTTGTGAAATTACACAATTATTGTAAAACTACCTGATTTATAAAGTGATTAATGTGATTAAGTGATTTATTTGATTAACTCACTTTAAAGTAATTAAGAAATTACAAGGTTGTAATAATATGATTCACTTAAACTTCAAAACAGTGAATTACTTTACTGATTACATTATTTCACTAAAATGACTTTATGCACAGTAATAAATTATTTGAGATTTTATTTTTTAAATAAATCCTGTATATTTTATTAAAAAGTTGTAAAATTTAGATATTTATTTTCCAGAAAGTCATTCAAATTCTGACTCCATCACTTCACTAAACTGACTTTATTCATGTAGTATTTATAGTAATTTTACAAGATTACTTTATTTTTAAAGTAGTTTTTAAAAAACTTTTGTAATTTAGACTTTCATGACTTAAATTTTTATAATATTGTGACTACATGATGACTTTTCCTGTAAATTCAGAAGTAATCTTTAATAAGATTATGAGTGTACTCTCTCCCCGACCACAGTCCCGATACCTGCACTTCGTTACATGTCCTCTGTGCTCTGGTGTCACAGCGCCCTCTAGTGGACGCTCACACTCGTCACACTGCAGAGGGTTTGAAGCTGATGAATGTTATATAGATTTATTATATATATATATATAGATTATTTTTAATCTTTTTGTTGTTTACGGTATATGTATTGTTTTTGTTTACATTTTAGGTTACTGTGTTTATTGTTTTCATATATAAATAATTTCTCTGACTTTTATATTTATCTTGCTTCCTGTTTTATTGACACTGTGATTTTACGTTGTTGTTTGTTTTTATTGTTATTGTTTGTGTGTGGACCCCAGGAAGACGAACGGGGATCCAATTTAAGAGTAAAGAATAAAGTTGATGGAGAAGTAGAGAAACAGTCTTTACTTCTTTATGTAACTGTAGATTGTTTAATTGTTGCTTCTTTTTCAAATAATTACAGTATTTATGGTTCACACTTATCAGTTTATACTGTATACTTATACAGCCAGTTCACAGTGACTCTACTGTGGAATATAAAGGAATGATAACAAACAATACACAGAGTTATGTTAACTTAATAGAGTATAAACTGATGTAACGTTGAGAAGTGAGAACCATAAAGCAGTTTGTACAGTACTGTAATTATACACAGTGTTCCCTCTGCAGTGTGACGAGTGTGAGCGTCCACTAGAGGGCGCTATGACACCAGAGGACACCTTCAGTCCACATCCAGTCAGGGGTCAGTTAGTTAGTCCTGATTGTGTCCAACCGTCCACAGCGAGCAGCTCTTCACTGGATCCAGACTGTGATGATCTGCAGGTAACCGGGCCGTCGTCAGGGGGACAGAGTACACTCATAATCTTATTAAAGATTACCTCTGAATGTAGTCACAATCTTATTACATTTAAGTCACGAAAGTCTAAATTTTACAACTTTATAACAAAAGTTACAGGATTCATTTAAAAACTGCTTTAAAAATAAAGTAATCTTGTATAATTACTATAAATACTACATGAATAAAGTCAGTTTAGTGAAGTGATTGAGTCACAATTTGAATGACACTGTTATTAAATGACTTTATGGCTTCCTGGAAAAGAACAACATGAATTTTACGACTTTTCTTTGTGAAATAAAAACATGATTAATGTAAAACTACCTGATGCATAAAGTAACGTTAAGATTACTTCATTTTAAAGTAATTCAGAAATAAATTCTTTACACTTTATTAAAGGCGCTTCATTTTCTCATTATGATTCAGTTACTTCACTAAAAGGACTTCAAATGATTTTATTTTACTCGTCTTTACTTCTTTGTTTGACTGCGTCGTTGTTTCCAACACGAGTCAGTGGAATAAAACAGGAGAGAAACCTCAGAGTTAGCCTCCATCTTCCACAATCAGTCCATCATTCAGGTGTCTTTCTTATCAGGGGACATCTTTTACTCTGACTTTTCTTTCTCTGGGACAGTAAACTGGATATTTGAGACAATGAGGACGTCACTGTGGGCTTTTGGGAAACAGAGATCAACATTTTCTGGAACAAAAACAATGAACGGATGTATTAAACGGACCACGTTGTTGCTTTTAGAAAAACAGACTAACACTGTAAAGAATTCCCTCATATAATTACAGAAAGTCGCTGTATTTAAACTTTATTTACAACAGTGTTACTACATGTTTCCTGCTGTATTTTATTATATTGTACTGTAACATATCCAGTTATATTAATATATATGACTGTTACTAATATCTCTATACTGAAATATTCTGTAAAACATTTACCCACAATGCCACATACACTACATGTGATGAAGAGCTGTGGTTGTACAGCAGGTTTTTTACAGTAAACATTATGTAATTTGATCCGAACGCAGACGCAGGCAGAGACAGAGAGAGTGTGTTATCACTTCTTTTATACAATTGCAGTGTTTCTATTTTTATCTCCCGGTTTGTGTTCTGGTTGCGTCAGTGATGCTGCGGAGCCGCGTGGGAGGCCGACCTGAAGGATAAAGACGAGCTCATTCAGTGTTTCAGTCTCACACTCAGAGAGCCCCCCCCCTCAGTCACTCACTTTAACACCTGGTGCTTGTTAAATAAACCTTCAAATGACACATTTAACGGGCTCTTTAATTCATTTAATAAAGGTATTTGATTACGTCGACCAAGAAAGAGGTTCAGACAACAGCTTCGGGGGGGGACACTGACTCAAGCAGGGGTGGCTCAGTATTCCCAGTTTATGTAATTCAAACACAGTTCATAGACCCAAGTATGCAGAAATATTCCAAATATGGTCTGTAAAGAGATTTATATTCAGATATCTTGAGGTCAGAGGTCAACAGATCAATGACACTGTGATACTTTCTCATTTTTAAGAGACTTTTGTCGTTACATTAAGAGACGTGACCACGTCGCAGACTGATGAACCGGATACTGGTTTTATTTTAATAGTATTATGTGTGAAACCTTGAGGAGGATCGGCTGTATGAATATTATGTGTACCTGAACATAGAAAGCGTTCTGTTTCTTTAGAATGAGACGTTTATATCTACAGGAGCCCAGAGGGGACAAACACTGGCAGTTGGATCTGAGGGGGTGCTGCGGCCCCCTGAGCAGCCCGACTTCCAGCACAGCTTCAGAACCTGCTGATTAATTGATTAGGCGTATAAAATGTTTTTAAATATTCTCCTCGTTGCCTCATACATTCAGTTTACTGTCGAAGAAACTAGAAAATATTCACATTGAAGAAGCTGAATCAGAGAATTCCTCTAAACAAATGACTCCATTCATTTAATAGCTGACAACTTATTGATCAATCAGCTAATCATTGCAGCTCTAAGTGCTTCAGGACTTTAGCCCTGACAGACAGACAGACAGACAGACTGAATGGAGGATCTGTCTGCGTTAAACATCCACCCAGAGGACCCGAAACAAAATGTCAGCCGCCCCCCTTCAGCTCCATCTGCTGCTGTGACGGATGACGACGCAGCCTCAGTGGCGGAGCAGCGACAGCAGAGGGAGCCGCCATAAACAATGTGTAGGACCTTGACTGGCGAGACCGCCGGAGCAAAACATGTTTTTCACCTCAGGTCCTGCTGCGATCCACCCGGGGAGGAGGAGGGAGGGGGGGGTATTTATAGGCTGATAACGAGCATGTGTCCTTCAAGACCACGTTGTCCACACACTCCCCCGGCCCAGAGGAAGCAGGACGGACACACAGACGGATAATGGTGAAAACAAGAGAGAGAGACGTTTCTGGAATAATAAAACTCAACAGAGATCGTTTGGAAAAACAAAACTGAGTTTATTAAGACAACAAAAAGGATCCTGGATACTCAGGAACATTATCAGGAACTTCGGTACGAAGCAGTCGTGGTGAATTTTCTTTACACAGAGAAGAAACAAATAAAAAATAAAAAACACAAACAGAACTCCCGCTGGGGAATTCAAAAAGGTGAAAGCACCACTAAAGTGTTGTCATGTGACGTCCCCCCCCCCATTACAAACAAACAGTTACACATCACCCTAAGCCTTGTGGGAAAAGGGCGTGCTTCCTCTACTTTCCCTTTCCCATGCCCCCCCGTCTTCCACCACGTGTTTGATGTCCATGAAACGTGGAGCTGCCTTCCTGTGACACCCTGGGGGGGCCAAAACCACGCCAGGACAAAACCTCAGCTTTAAAGAGAATAAACCGACAGGTAGAGGCTCATTTCACCAAACTGGGGGGGCGAGGAAGAGGAGGGCACGTCCTTTCTCCTCTCTGTACAGTGGCTCTTAACACACAGCATTAGATTGTAAACAACATGGACAACCAGACCCCCCCCCCACAGAAACACACTGTGGGACTGAGTGGTCAATAAATGAATAAACCAGGACTTCCTGTTCGACCAGAGGAAGGGGGGAGAAATGAGAAAACCAAAATTGGGAAACTATTTCTAAAGTATGGGAAACAACAAGGGTCGTTTTTTTTTTAATTGTAAGAAATTGTTTGTTTACTTTTTAAAAAAAACACTGAATTCGTTTAATAATCCACTAAAACTGTTTTTGTTTGTTTCCTGTTGAACTTCAACACTTTTAGTTTCCTGATGGTGGACTTCTCATTCACACATTATTACACACTGAGAGCTGTTTGTCTCAATGCTGCACTGCTGCCCCTGAACGCCTCACACACACACACACACACACACACACACACATTCAAACATAAACAACAGCAGCCGGGTGGCTAGTTAGCAAGCTCAGCTAACTGCTAGCCGACGCAACGTTACACACACACACACACACACACACACACACACACACACACACACACACACACACACACACACACACACACACACACACAATAAACCCATGAAAAAAATTGATGAAATTAGAAAAACAAATAGCTACCAGTCTTGTGAAATTTAATTCTAAACAGTCTGATGTGTTCGCGGTCCGGTCCGGTCCGGTTCGGGTATCAGGACGGAACCCCGTCCGCCGCCTGCGGGAACTCTCCACAGTCCGCGGCGGAGAACTGGAGCCTCCTCACGGCCTCTTTGATCAGGTTCCCGGATAAAATTAAGTCCTGCAGCAGCCGGTGCGGGTCGTCCTCCTCCACGGTGATCCTCTTTTTGCTCCACGGTTTGATTTGGTCCCAGTCCGGGTCCGACCCGGGGATGTGGTACGGGCTCGCCCTGCTGCTCCTCCCCCGGTGTCCCCGGTTCCGGAGCCGCATGCAGCAGCGTTTCTGCGCCGGAGCCGAGGAGCTATTCCCGCCTCCTCCTCCACCTCCACCTCCACCTCCGTTGCCTCCACCGCCGCCGATGAGAGCCGGTTTGACCCCGCCGGTGCCGCCGCCGGTCAACCCGTGCAGACACGACACAGACACGGACACAGTCTTCTGGTGGCCGCCGGTGTTGTTGTGGAGCTGCAGCGCCTCGCCGATCTTCGTCACCAGCGCGTCCACCTCCTTCGAGTCGACGGTGACCGACTGCTCCAGAAAGATGTAGTTCTCCTTCCGACAGGGCATAATGGCGGACGTGTGGTTCCTCTGGAGTATCTTCTGTGTTGTTTGTTTGTTTGTTTGTTTGTCGGTGTGACTGAGAGCCGCCGGGCCGCTGCTCGCTCTCACCACGCCGCTCGGCACTCACCAACAACCAGGCTTCATTTGTAAACAATGGGTGACGCGTTCCGGACTGTACCATGTTCCCCGCGACGAGGAGGGGGGTTCCGTTAACCAAAATAAATCGCTTTTTAAAGCAAGAGTCAGGCTACAAAGCACAACGCGGTCGTTTAATAAAGTTAGCGAGCTTTACAGAGTCGTCCACCACAATAGATTTACTATAACGCTCGTTTACGGGGTTTTTCCCGCTCGTGTGGTTTCCCGCCTCAACCTGAGCACTCTTGCTTTTTGGACTGCTCCGTTCAAATGGACATTACATAAGTCATAACTGTCTGCTGCTGTCTGTCCAGGCAAAACAAACAAAGCACACACGTTTTTATTTTATTCCTCATGTGTTAAACAGAAAAAGGTGAAATGTAAAATGTCCGAACATATTCAGCTGTGAGCAACCACGTGCTGAAATTAGGAAATGGTGAAAATCATCAGAATATGTTGTGTAACCACTGTTCACACTCAAAACCCAGTGTTGCACCAAATTCTGTGACCCAATAAGGAATTTCAGCTATATTGCTACATCAAACATTACACTGTAGTTTGATCTATAATAATAAATAATAATAATATAATAATAAAACATATATACTTATATAGAAATCACTAACAGCAGACCTTTGTAGACCTATAGCTTTTAAAACGTGTGAACCATCAGTGATTGCATCCTGTTTACTAACAGCCAATAAAATAAAGTGTAAAACGTGATAAAACATTTGTTGTGCAGCTCGAAACTCACAGAATCTCATTCAGTGTAACACGTGTGTTCTTCATCTAAAGGACAAAGATGAAGCCACGTCTCTTCATACTGAAAAACATATGTAATAAAATCAGATATCTAACGTCTAAACACACAGTTGAAATATTTGGCTGTGAGTGTGAACGTGTGGAGCCCAGCCGCTGGCATCCAGCGTGCATACAGTGACAATAGGAGTGGAGGGAGGGTGTGTATCTGCGGGAGAACACAGTGTACATTTCTGTTTCTGAGAAACAGCAGCCGGGCTAAACCTGATGCTCCAGTCAAAGAGAGAGCTCTCATGGCCATATAAGGAGCTACTATCACTGCCTCCACGTGGTACGTCGGCCAATCAGAGGGCCCCGGCTGAGGTTTCCTGTGTGTCTCAATGGCAGCAGCGTGCAGGAGTCCAGTCATACTGGAATCCAGTGAGGTTGTGGCAGTTGGGAGTGATACCAAGATAAACAGTCATCACTTCCTGAAAGGTACAACAACAGTACTTAGATGACTTTACAGCATGCAGATAAAATGAATCATTTCATCAGTTTATATATGCATACACTGTATTATTCACATAAATGCTGCATTTATAGTGTGTTTGAGATTAGATTCAATTCAACTGTTAAGAAAAGAAATATGTGAAATATGATTTATTAGTTTGGTGGTAAAAGAGTTGAATACAGACATTACAACAGATTAAAGTACAGGAATAAGATCATTTCATTGTACATTGAAACTAAAGTTTAATGAGGTGGTGAAGCAGCGTGGGATCATGGGAGTTGTTGTCCACCATTACAGTCAGCTGCTCCCGGGTAGGATTCCTTCAGTGTTCATGGTTCAGGAGGTGACGCCATCGACAGGCGACCGGTGAAACGCAGCGTTACCTGAACAAAATGACACATTATCCCAAATGTTTCCAACAATGTTCAAACTCTGAGAAATCTAAGAACACAACTCCACAACATATATAGTGGTTTTAAGACATTTTAATGTGGAAATATTACATTTTAAACCTTCAAAGATCCCCTCCAGACATGTGTTGAGGCACCATTAAGGATTTTAAGGTGGAAATGATCCTTTTTTTGTGGATATATCAAACACACATTATTATTGCTCCAAGCAGACTATTTGTGTATGTTGTTACACATGTCTGGAGGGGGTCTTTAAGAATGGAAAAACACAAGCTTGCAAGCCGCTGTAACGGGGCTGAACATGTATTCTGTTAGTGTGTCCACGCCCTGTACACAGTGTCTGCTTGTGTTTCAACAATGGATACTATAGGGACTAGTGACTCAGGATAGAGTCTACATCAGGAGTCCCAAAAGTGCACACAATCAAAACTAAGATAACTGTAATAGTGTGCAAGAAATCTGCAACAACAACCTCCCACTGTGGCTGTAAACAATGATATCTAGAAGTCTCTGTGAGTCAGTTGAGTCATGTTTTAAACAGGCCTCCTCCCTTTCCTCCGGTCCAGCTTCCACGGCTGGAATCTTCACGCTGAAAAACTCGGTACACAACACGAGGAAGTGAGCTGGCACAAAAATGGGTCACCCACTTCCGCAGTCTTTCATGTTTTCCTGTATGTGAGTCAGCGGCGGTTGTAAACAGCGTGGCTGAACACAATTCCTGTTTGTCTGCAACAGCTGCTGCTCTCACAAGTTCCCTGAACCCGAGCGCCACGGCAGGAGCGCTATTAGTGTGTGACCTCATCCCCCCTTTCTTTGTTTGTGTGTGTGACTGTAATCCTTCCTTCAGTGTGTGTGAGATAATCAGGGACAGCAGTTGGACTGAAGAGGAGATTAATAAACCTTACAGAGAACAACACAGGCAGAAAACACTGTATGGATCCTAGGTGGGGGGGGGGTCATACTGTACGTCTCTGTAAGGCCTGTGATCACACTCACAGCTGCAGAGGGTGTTCTGTGTTTAGAGGCAGGATATAAATAAAGAGGTAAACTGTGGACCAACAATAGTCTTCCAGTTGGTGTTGGAATACATACCAGGAAGTCCAGTTTGAAGCCTGTATCAGCTTTATCTGTTGAGTCTGTGTTAGTAGCTCTGTGAGGTCATTTGAACCCTTTTACATCCAATCCCCAGTCAAACTGTACACCTGTTTAACAATTTATACCAAAATAAAGACCAACCAATCAACCAATAACCATCCACCTGTCAATCAATCTTCAACTTTTAGCGACAGAGAGCGAAGATTAGAACAATAACCCCCGACACATACGTACACACACACACATATGTCGAACCCGGAGCTCCGCCACACTTATAACGTCATTAAAGAGAAAAAGTACAAGGCAAGACATTCAGCTCGAGGGAAAGATATCAGCCGTTTGGACACAAGCAGAAAGTCACAGACTCACGCTGCTGTTACACAAACACTCGGTACCACGGACCTGATAACAATAAGTACACAGAGATAACTGTAAGGGATTCTGTGTATCAACCTCCAAATGCATGGCTAACAGGAAGTTTTATGAATGTTAATCAATGTTGCTTATTGTTCTCTTCACTCTTTGGTTGTTTTTAATTTGAGCTGAATATAGTTCAGATCTTCAAACTGTAGATCTTAAATAATAATCTAAACTTTAAAAATAACAATTCCATTTTGCTACTGTGTGTATTGTTTAAGTTTCCTTACACCCCTCGCCTTGCGACCCCCAGTTGGGAACCACCGCACTAGTCTGACACTGGAAATAGTCCCTAACAAACGGAGACTACTTCTTCCGTTTGTTTGATAAAAACTACAGAGAGCAGCTGTTTTAGGAGGTATTTTTAAAGATACACGTCTTCAGTGGGAACCCACCGACTTGGAGCCACAAACAGGGTGGAGAGGTCATACAGTGAAACACGCTGTTGTTTGCTCCCTGCACGAGGGAGAAGAAATATTAAATATACAGCCTGATCCTTTAAAGCTGGTTTGTTGTGAATATCATGCTGCCTGACTGCACCAGGCCCCGCTCTATGAAGTCTGGGGAGCTATCCGCCACTGTTACTAATTTGGGAAGTGTATCTTTGAATTTGGACCCTCTTTGGTCGCTGCAAATCCTTTAAACTTTCCATTTGTAATCATTATTTTGATGGTCCGTACTTCACTCCAGCAGTCGTACGTGTGGTGCCACTGAAGCCGGCCGAGCTGAATGGAGAGCGAGCAGAAAAGAAAACAGGCCTTTCAGCCAGAGGATCAACTTTGACAGCAGTTGGTCGGCTGCCAGCAGCTCGAGTTCACCGAGTTTGTTTCCTCCATTCAAAGAGAGAGAGAGAGAGAGAAAGAGGGGGGAGACATTTTTATATTGCCTCCCTCTCTCTCTCTCTCTCTCTCTCAGACACACCTCTCTCTCTCTGAGAGGAATGTGAGGAGGTTGCACATGGCAGGAAGTAATATCAAAGGATTTATTTGTTGCTGCGGTGGGAGCCTGCGGGGCCTGTGTTGTAAACAGAAACATAATCACAGCCTCAATTATAAAGAGCAAATTGAATAGAAAAGTTATTGTTGTGTTGTTAAAACATGTTCCTGAGGCCGGCTGAGGGTCGCTCAGCTGACGGGCAGCACTACTACAACACGTCTCTTTCACACAGGGGGGACAGCAGTGCATGCTACATGCTAACTCCCCTGACTAATACTGGGAACAGTTTGTGTTTGTTTCTTTCAACATGACAAAGCCCCCGAGCACACAGCAGTATGGACCTCGACCCCTCCGCCGGCCGCAAGTCAGACCGGATCACCCGACATCATGACTGCGTTTTTATTTAATTAGTGGACAGAGTCTGTGAAGAGAAGCCAGTAGGTGTCTTAAACCTGCAGTCCTCCTAACAACCAGCAGGGGGCAGCTCCACTGGTTGCAATAACACACCGATACCATTCAGTCTTATGGAGAAATGAGTCGACTTCTCAGCTGATGTATGAGCTCAGTAAACAGTTTCCTGATGAGTTTCTGGTCTCAGTCTCTAGTTTCAGTCTTCTTCCATACAGCATGATGTTCATTTAGTAACTGATGGTCCCATTTAGAGTAAAACAGACCATAAAGCAGGGTATGCTTTAGGGCGGGGCTACCTTGTGATTGACAGCTCATTCTCAGTGAGTCCGTCCAGCTCAACGCACCAAACTTTCACAAACATATTTTACTATTTATCTGTAAAATGAGCTTGTGTGTGAGCAGGCGAGGCGCCATTGTGTCCTGCTATGATTTGAAACAAAACAGTTAAATTAACTCATCTGGTGATTTATACTAATAAAAACAGACTTATGAATATTATATTCCATTTCTTCATGTAGTAAACGTAGGAAAAGATCATGTATTAACCATTTGTTGCCACCAGTGTCACTTATAAATAAACTTTGGTTGTTGTTTTTTTTTACTTTAGTCAGACAATCAGTTGGAAACAAAACTGCCGGTTAGTCAAACAGAGTCGAGCAATAAACTATAAACACGTATGACAGTTTACAGGCCGACTACCTGCTTCACCTTTCACCTACTTTTCCTACTGTGCACACAGTTGTTCTGTGCACTGAGGGATTATTGCGACAGTTAAGGTGTGCTCACTTTCAGTTTTACCTTCCCCAGAAAGTGCTACAGGTAGTTCTTATATACTTAAATAAACTAAAATTACTTTTATTTCTTTTTATTTCATAAGGTTGAAAGTTGTTTGAGGTGTTTGCAAACATGTTAAACTGTCATAAAGTCGGCTCATTTAAATAAAGGATCAAACCACTGGTTCAAAAATGTTTCTTTCATATCTTTATGTGCACACCAGAGTCCTCCTATAATGTGCTTCCTTTAGTGTTTAGTAGCGATGCATGTTGTTAAGTTATGTAAGTATATTTGATTAATATTTGACACTGAACCCACCCTTTGTTTTCCACGTGGAGGAAGCCAGTGGAGACAAACATACAACAGAAATATGTAAAAACCACATGTGAACAGTTGCAGAGCCAATCGGCGTTTCACAGCGTTACATAATGCCTCATGTGTTGAAGTCATAGAGACATCATGTGCTTTGTGTGTGTGTGTGTGTGTGTGTGTGTGTGTGTGTGAGAACATGAGCTGATGTATGTGGGGAGTGAAAACTAGTTTTTCGGAGCCCTCCTTCCTCCTTCACGCCTCTCTCCACCCCTGTGGCATTGTGGGATTGATAAACAGAGATTATGTGATGAATGAGTGCTTCACCTTGATGATTCCCACACTCACTGTTTCAGATATTTGATATTATGTGTGTGTGTGTGTGTGTGTGTGTGTGTGTGTGTATTTGCTGACTGGAGAGCTTTATTGTGTTCAGCCTGTGCCACCGCCACCCTCCACACATCGACTAGCTTTCTTAATCTGAGCAATTTATCAAGTGACTAGATCCCAGATGGAGCTTCTGTTGGAGTATTTTTCACTTTGTCAGCTTTGTTTTTAACTAACCGACATGTTCTTATATACCTCTAGCACTATGTACGCAGGAATCTGTGGTATGTTGAGAATTTATGGACGTGCAGTCAAACAACTTGAGTAAAACGTGACTTTTCTTCACGTAAAGGAAGTGAAACCACTGTAAAACAGCACAGTGTAAAGTATTTACACGTCAATTTCATAATTTAACACCTTTTATAACTTTTATGAGCAAAAAAACGATCAAAACAATGTCGTTCTCACTCTTGTGTATTAATTGGGGCTATTATGCAAAGTGATTATGTAAATTTAAGTAATTTTACTTAAGTATTTCACTTTATGCTACATTATACTTTATATATTATAACTTTGGTTGACGTGGATGTAACACCTGCTGCAGGAGAGTCAAGATCCAGAACAGGTTGAAACAAGATGAAACACAATCCAACAGATCTGCATTTTATACTACAGTAGCTTCATTTGAACCCTTTAAGATCAAATTATCAGTTATATTGTCCCCATATTTAACAATGGATGACAGAAACATTTACAAAAACTCAATTTCTTTGTGTTTTTATATTAAAATCCAATAATTGTGTCTTCCTGTAAAATTAAATGTGAAGCGTGTTTACGTAAAAACGAACTAACTTCAACTTTTAGCGACACAAAGATTCATTAGCTCACTGATTACTGTACAAACACACAACTTTATCAGAGATTTGGGTGAAACTGGATCATATCTTATGGAGAGAATATTGTCTGGTTTTCCCTCCGACGTCCTCCGGCTGCTCTGCTAACTGTTAATGTAGCTGCTGTTAGTGTTAGCAACTGAACGGGGCTCAGCAGCCTCCCAGTGAACTCAACCTCAGAGACAGACAGAGGACAGTTTGACGACAGCGGTACCGAGGTGATTTATGGGAGTTTCCTGATGGACTGTGCAGCTAATGTTAGCTGACTTAAACCCTCAGTACTCAACGCCGTCAGTCTGTCCTCCGTCGGCATCCGATGCTGCATTCAGTCCGACAGGGTCCGCCAACGGGTCCACTACAGCTGCTGGAGGTAGTGAGGGGGGGTGTTAACCGCTTTATATGCTACTGTAGTCTGGGTGAATGAAAAGAAACAAACAAGGTGGTTTAACATGGTGGAGCCGCTCCCTTTGTGGTTGAACACACAATCATTCTCATTTTCAGGTGATTATACGCTAATAAAAACACACCAATATTCAACCTCTGGCAACAGATTCTCCTCGGTGAACCGACTCTGATTGAATGCAGCACGTTGTCCATTAATTCCTAATTCCTTTACTCATTACACATCCAGTTATAAAGGAGTTAATATTTTACCACAGAGCTGTAAAGTGTGTTTACAACCAGTGGTTGGTTTCACTATGACTCAACCACTACCATGCACCACGCAGTCCAAAACATTTACAGTTATGTTATGAAAATCATGTGATTAAGTTGTAGCTGGAGTAAAACTCTCTCAGCTAATGTTTCAGACTTCCATAAATAGCCCTTTGATAAAGCTGAGGTGAGCAGGGGACACTGACTGCAGCACATTGTTCTTCATGCAGCCGTGCTAATATTTGACATCGTCTGCACACACGCAGAGTTTGATGAACTTAAAGTTAACATTTCAGTGAACTCGGCTGTTTGAGACAAAAGCTGATAAAACAAACGTCGTGTCATGTTCTGCTGAGCTGAGCAGGACTGAAACACCAGCGTGGTGTTATATAACGCATCCAGGAAACAACACACACACACACACACACACATATGAAGAGACTGATAATGAGTTGAACTATTCAGTATTATTGAATCTTTATTGCATTCGGACATTTTATCACATTATTTTATGACAGTATATTTGCAGTTATATAATAATAATAAGCTATGATTCACACACACACACACACACACACACACACACACAGCAGTAAAGTGATTAGAACAGGTACATTGTGTTCTGCTGAGCTGTTAAATGCCTTTTATTTCTGTTGTTATCTGCAGTTATATGGTCGGCCATGTCTGAACACGCTCCTCTCAGATATAGAACCAAAGCTGGTTAACACACACACACATACATTTAAACACAGCCAACTCAAGGAACTTTTAATAAATACATTGAAAAGGTGTGTTTTAAGTGTAAACAAAACAAACAACAGCATAAAAACAAGGTGGTCTAAATGACTAAATGACACTGTAAACCGTAAAACAGCAGCAATAATAATATACACAACATAAAAAGAAACAGTGTCGATCCAGTTTGACTGCATATAAAATAACTGGATTAGCTGCTTTGTTTTTGTTTTTTTGTTGCATTTTTTGGACAATTTAAACTCCACGTGTGAGGATTCGTGAGCTTTTCTGAATCAAAGCACGAAGCAGTGAAAGATGTTCGCACACACATACACACGTGTGTTTTTGTTATTTTCAACCAGGATATTTCATCCTCCATCCTCCTTTCTCTGAGGGTCGTTGTTGTCAAAACATTGAGCAGAAATCTGCCAAGTAACCTTGGAGATAATCCTGCACACACACACACACACACACACACACACACACACACACAGTGTTTGTGTGCTGTGGTTCGCATTCAGCTCCTGATGGTCTCATATTCTCCGCAGGAGGTCGAGCTCTCGCAGAATAAGTAGCAGCAGTTTCCTGAAAAACGCCCCAAACTTAATTCTTACTATCACTGATGTACTCATGAGGACATTGTGTCCTAAAGTCCAGGGTACGTTTGAACTGCTTTATCATACAAGAACAATGCTGCTCCTTTATTCACATTACTGGTTCTCAAGCTATGGTGGTGAAATCCCTGAAATATAAACGTTTTCTAAATTAAATAAATCAATTTAAAGACA